GACTCCTCTGCCAGGCAGACAGCAGTCGGGCTGGTTGGGCTACGAAGTGGGGCCAAAACCCTGAGGAAGAGTTCTCTGGGACGCCGGGACTGGCTGGAGGGGTGGGATTGGGTAGCTGTATTCTGCCCAGGTAGGATCATTGCTTCCTTTCTGGGTCTGAGGCAATTGTTCATGGTGACTTCATGTCACCTCTGAGGAGGTATGGTTTAGGTTGACACTGTCCCTGGGACTTCTGCTCTCTGCACCCATGGAGGTAGGCCAGGAGCCTAGCAGCTTATCCTTGGGCCAGCCTTGGCTAAAGAGAGGAGTGGGAGGGGATGTTACCTGGGGGCACTAATGTTTTCCTGAGCTGTCATGCTGTGCTTTGGGATCTGCAGTTTTGTGGGAATGTGTAGCTTTGGGTGCCAGCACCTAGTTCTGGGGTGGCAGAACCATGCCAGTGGATGTAGTGCAATGGCTGTGAGTTCTTCAACCTTGGGCTGCAGCCAGGTGACAGAGATGGAACACTTTGTCAGGTGGCCAGATTTCTAGGCAGTATCGTGCAATTCAGTGCTCCTTAATCTTTCACTCTATCAGCAAATAGCCAGGCATTGAGCAGCTACTACATGCCAGGCACTTACAGTGTCCTTGGAACAATAGATGCCTCCCTTGCCTCACAGAGGCTTGGGAAGATCATGTGAAGCAGAGGATGGGAAAGGGAAATGTGAACTAGAAGGTGCCTTACAAATGGCATCAACAGTGTCCTGGGAAGCAGCAAGGGGCAGGCAGAGGAGTGGAGGAAGTAGAGCAGAAGGGCTGGAGGAAAGATGCCTCTTCTTGCTTTGCTCTGAGCTAGAGCAGGGAGCTCTCAGGAGCTGCCAAGTGCAGACTGGCGCTCTGTCACAGCAAGCTCTCAGCAGCAATGCCCAGTTCAGGCAGCAGAGGGCAGTGAGGGGCCCGCCTGCCTGTCTGGAAAGGGGCCTTTGAAAGCTGGTGGCGGTGGTGATTGAGGAGGGGGCAGGGGACAGGTGAGACAGGGCACTGGAGAGGAATGGGGAACATAGTGCCCAGGATCAGCCTTCTCTTGGGGGTGTGTGCAGGTGGAACTCATTTCCTGCCCCGGTCCCTTGGAGTGCTCAGCCTTCTGGACCAGGGGCCTGGCCCTGCCACCCATCAACAAGACAGGGGATTGGCCCCAGGGGTACCTCACTCTTCCTCTTCTGTTCCCAGGCTGCTAGGGGATTTGACTCTTCCCTTGTGGACCCAGTGGGGGAGGAGAATTGTTCCTCCTACTGTGAAGCCATGGCCATGTTTTTGTGAGTGATGAAAAAAATTTTTTTTGGTGCTGGTCTGAGGGGAGGGTTGAATCCAATCTGTTGTCCCTGGACAGCCTGATCCCCAGCCTGGCCTACTCGATGCCTCAGTGTTAATCTGAGAGCTTTGCTACCTTTCTTCCTGGACGGCAGGAGAATGTCATTATGGTACATACAGACTAGTCTGACGTTTCCACACTAGCAAGTCTGGTGAGGCCCCCTGGGGCCCAGGAAACCCAGGAGGACTTCCTACCAATTACAAGAGGCTCCACTCCTGATTTACCAGCCTGTGCTCCACCACATCCTCAAAACACAGACCTTCTGGAAGATAGTGGCTGCCAGGGGACAGAAGGAGAGGTTTAGGGAAACTTGGAAGAGACCGGGGGCTGGGAACCAAAACACCAAGGCGGCAGGAGGCTCCTTCCCTGAGTCCTAGAGGAGGCACCGGCGCTGGCTGGGCCCAGCCTTTTCAGCAGTTGCAGTAAGTGGGTGATGGTGAACAGCAGTGCTTGGCTCCTCAGGTAGATGCTACGTGACTTCTGGCACATTGAGAGCCTGTGTGTTTCCCGGGTGACCAGCTGAGCCAGGGACGATGAGAGGACAGGAGTGTGGCAGGAATGCTAGAGAGGGAGGGAGGCAGCGCTGCTTGCTGGCTGGCCCCTCACGTGCTGCTACTGTGCTCTGCCAGCACCCTTCAGCCTCCTTGGCATTGTCCTGCCCTGGTGGGGGCACTCTATTTCTCTAGCATCCCTGCCAGTTTCTCCTCGCTGCCTGGGTGGGAGCCCCTGCTGATGGCCTGGGCCACTTTGTGTGAGACCCCCCACCTCTTGTCTACTGGAGGCAAGAGGTGGTCAAACCCTAGAGGAGGCAGACTGGTGTGAAGGCAGGTCAGGACCCAGCCACTGCCCGGTGTGCCAATGTGCTGACAATTAACTGATGAGAAGGGTCTAGGTTGGGGAACTCCGGGTCCATCCAGTCTTCTTCAGGGCAGCATTTTGCCCTTGAAGGCTGCAAATTTCTCTGAGTGGGCAGACAGGAATGAGGCACAGCCTGGTCTTTCTTAATTCAAGGGGCTGTGCGACTGCAGGCTCCAAGGGCAGGAAGGGACTGCATTTCTAGGAGACTGGCCCCAGACGATGCCCTGGGCACTGGTAGGGACAACTAAGGGAAGCTAGGCAATGGTAACTTCCTGGGCTTGTGCTTCTTGACAAGGCCAAATGCAGAGGACTAGGAACATTTGGCTCTGCCATTCTCCCACCCTTGTCACCCCCCAGGTGATGTTTTCTGGAGACACATGCCAGGAAAGCAACAGGCTAGTGAAGGCCAAATGCAGAGGACTAGGAACATTTGGCTCTGCCATTCTCCCACCCTTGTCACCCCCAGGTGATGTTTTCTGGAGACACATGCCAGGAAAGCAACAGGCTAGTGCCTCTTGAATTCTGAGGAGGGCAGGTCTAGGTGGTAGAGGAACCTCAGGCACCCACAGAGAAGTTGTAAGAGCCAGGGGAAATATGCCCCCTTCCTGGGGGCAGTGCTCCAGCCAGAGCCCTGCTAACGCAGGGACTCTTCTTGATGCTGTCCAGCAGGCACTGGGTGGCTTAGAGGAGCTGACATGTCCACATTGTCTTCTACTTCATCATCCCATGCATGGGTGGTGGCACTTGGTGCTGGCCACTACACAAATACTAAGGTGAGCTGAATTGGCTTCTCCCTGAGCAGGGCCAGAGCAGCCAAGCTCTCAGAAATTTTTTTTTTCAAAAGATGGTAAGGGGATCTTAACCCTTGACTTGTTGTCGTCAGCACCATGCTCACCCAGTGAGCTAACCGGCCATCCCTATATGGGATCCGAACCCATGGCCTTGGTGTTATCAGCACCACTCTCTCCCAAGTGAGCCACAGGCTGGCCCCAGAAAGCTCTGGTTTTGACCTGGGCGGGAGGCTGCATACTGAGCAGGGCTGAGCTGCCATCAGGATCAGGGGTTCCTGGCAGTCAGGTCTCTCAGATGCAGGGTGGCCCCTAGTGGGTGGGAATTGAGTTGTGAGGCTATTGGGTGTGGAGTGACCAGGGTGGGCCATGGTTGGAGGTGGCCTGTGGAGAAGCTGGGGTGGCAGGAGCCAAGCAGCCGGGCTGAGCTGGCAGCTGATGAAGGCCTCAAAGCAGCTCTCAGTGCATGGCTGGCTGGTCCAACACCAAAACCTTCAAAGCATTTGCCTTTTTGGCAGGGCCTGGAACAGGGCTGTGGCTGGGCCCAGGCCGGGAGAGGCCTCAGTGCGCAGGGGAATAGAAGCCCCAGATCTGCATCCAGAGGCGATTTTCCCAGGCTCCTTCCTCCCACACAGCGGCTCTCTCCCTTGGTTCTGGAACTGGATCAGGCTCTTCCAGCCAAGTCCTCGTGGCTGCACAACTCAGCCCTGGCTGGGCTGCTCCTGTCTAGGGGAGCAAAAACCAGGGCAGAACCAGGGATAGACAAAGGCTCATTAGTGGCAGCCCAAGTCCCCTCCCACCAAGCTCCCAGTCTCCCAGCTGCCAGGAAGGGCCACTGAGCTGGAAGACATGAGATGGTCAAACTTCTACTTGAGCCCCCTGGTCTGGCCTAATCCATCTCAGAGCACAGGCTTGTGGGACTGGGGAAAGGAGAGCACAATAGCAAGTAAGGGCAAACCATGGTAGGACTAAAGGTCACTGGTGATTCCCCCTGGCACAGTGTGAGAAGCCTGGAGAGTGTCTCCCCTAGCCCAGCCCCAACTACCCTCTGCTGTGGATTCAGCCTCCTCCCTGACTTAACCTTTAGCTAGACCTGCTGACAGGAACAAGATCGACTGATTTGAGCTTCACCTCTTTTCATATCCTTGCTCTCCCTATGGAAGTGGTTTTAGTGAACAGTGAAATAGCTAAAAGGCAATTAAAAGTAAAGTGTCTGGTGAATTAAAATTGTTTTCCCTTTCCCAGCAGAACCTTTGCACTGGCATGGCTGCCCTAGGAACCAGGGCCTCTGCACAAGTTGCGGAGCTCTGGCTCCAGCAGCACCCAGGCCTCACCCCCTGCCCCTCCTTCCCAGGGTCCTGGAGCATCCAGATGGAGCGGGGCAACGCCTTGGTAGTGCTGCGCAGCCTGCTCTGGCCAGGCCTCACTTTCTACCACGCTCCCCACACCAAGAACTATGGCTACATCTATGTAGGTACTGGTGAGAAGAACATAGACTTGCCCTTTATGCTGTAGGATGGGGGCCAGCCTAGATGTCTTTTACGTACAATTGAAACATTTTCATAAATTTCAGTGAACCTGCCTTGTTTGTTCTGTCCTGCTTCCCTTCATCTCCACCTCCATCTGGTATCCAGGCTCTGAAAGGCCCCTTGAACCAGGAAACCCATCCTAAGGCAAGTGACAGAGGGTTGGAATGTGCTAACAAAAGAGATGCTAGATAAGGACAGATATAAATGGCTGTGAAAGCAGGTGACAACTAGAGGCCCTTTGGGGAAGGCAGCTTCTTGGACTCAGATGAGAGCTGTACGTGGGCCAGGTAACCCAATTCACTCCTTCCTTGCAGCACCCCAGACTAAAGAGCTAACAGCTGTCAATAAAGATGGGAACCTATTTGGCCCATGAACCCCCCTCCAGTTGCATTCACGTGGCCCATCACAAGAGATCAATGACTCAGCAGCCTAGGCAGTGCACATTTCCCAAGCAGTGAGCACACACCCAGTGGGTAAACCTATGAGTTTGGTTTATGACATTCCTTCAGGCAAAACTCCTGTCTCCCAGCACTGAACATAGCCCAAGGGTCATGAGACCACAGCAGCTGCCAAGGGACCCTATTGCCCTGCCTGCCCCTAACTCTCAGCACTGCTACTGGGTAGGCCAACGATACTGAAGTTAGTCTCACTGTCCCTTGTGCCATTCATGTTGGAAGGGCCAGGCCATCATGGAGGGATGGGGCAGGAGTACAGTTTTGGCTGAGGGCTCACGGCTGGCCACAGTGGAGGTGCAGAAGGAGCTCTGGCCAGGTCCTCAGAAAGCCCTGATCTCAATGGTACAGCTTCAAAGGCATTCTTGAATAGGAGACATTGTCCTTCAGGAGAGGTGACCCCACAGCCATGCGAACCTTGTTCCAGCAGGGGCCTTTGTTGTAGATGGGCTTGACAGAGTGGGTAGACCAGCGGGTCAGGTACCTGTGGAGGGAGGACAAAGAGGTGGGTATGCAGGCTGGGGCACCCTGCTGGAACTGGGAGAGTGGGGTACTGCCACCTTGGGTCAAGCCACGGCTGGCCAAGCAAACCCTTTTACCAGTTTTCCTTTTTTGAAGGGCAGGGAATTTTCCTGGGAGTAACTGCTTAGTGTCCTGTAAACAGATGGGCTGGGCTCCTGCTGCTGCAAGTGTGTGTGGCCAGGGTCAGCCAGCCCAGGGCCATGAGCTCCCTTGATCTTTATGAGTTGTCAATGTTTGTGTTTGCCGGGGAGAAGGATTGTTGCTGACGTATGGGCCTGGAGGAACCCTTCACTCTTCCCCACTTGGCTCACTCTGCCACCCCAACCTTCAGGGAACTCCCCAGGGCACCATTAGTGGAAGACCCCTGCCCCTCACGCAACCTATAATGGAAGCCAATGGGTGAGAACCCGTGGGTGTGGCCCTCGCCCAGGAAGGTTCCTGGGAAGTAGGAGGGGGTGGAGAAAGATGACTGCTGCCCATGGTCCTTTGGCCTCCTCTGGGGATGGCCAGGGCCCTGATAGTTCCTGGAAAAGTGGCTCATGTCAGCTAGGCTTGGGGTTTCATGTGTCCACAATGAAACTTGGATCCTGTCCAGAAAGGTTCAACCTTCGTTCCGAAAACTCAGCCATGTAAAGGCCAGAAATCTTCCCCTGCCTCCACTCTAGGTTGGGGCTCAACCCAGCCGCCTCTAGAGACCCTGAAATGAGAAGCTTTTTAGTTTAAAAAAACAAGTAACCTTGGCTGAAATTTTTAGATTAAAAAAAGTGAAAAAATGATTGCTGAGCTATGCGTTTCAACTGTGCTCCCCTGGATCTTGGTCTTCGGCTGTCAGCCCCAAGCAGAGGGCCTCCAGTGTCCACTAGAGATGGCGATGCTCCTGTCAGGGTGATGACTGTATAGGGGGCTGGCCCCTGGGACTGCTTTTTCTAGTCAGTGGTGCTGGGGCAACGGCAGAGTAAGGTAAAGGGAGGAGAACACCTGCTGGCCCTTTTGCTGGCCTCTCCCAGTCTTCAGAGGGGTATGTGGGGGAAGAGATGGGGTATGGGAGTATTCTCATAAGAGATTCCCCAAAAGGAGTGCTCACTGGGATTTAAGGACTCCAGAAGATCCCAAGGCTGATCAGGTTCGCCAGAACTACTGCCCTAACACTGTTCTTACCCCCATGCCCTGGAGAGATATGAAGGAAGCTGGGTTTCAGCTAGCCTTGGAACTGGTGCCTATGCCACATGGAGCAGCCAGCTGGCAGAGAGTAGACTGGGAGGCCTCCGGTCAGCTCTCCGGCAACACCCCAGCTCTAGGAAGAACCAAGGCTCTTTCCTAAATCAGCCCCTTCCTACCACTCCTGAAGGGGTGAGGGGAGAAGGGACGCAGCAGGAGATTGAAGCATGGCTCCGCTGGGCCCCAGCAGAGTTTGGGCCAATGTATGGCAGCTCAAAAACCTCTGAATGGAATCACAGAGTCCCTTGCAAGGGAATCAATTTCCTTTGTAGCCAGGACTTCCCTTCCCGCCCAGTGCAGCCTTTTGCAACCCAAGAGCCCACACATCATCAATCCTGTGTCATGTTAAAGGACACTGGATGTATGAGAGGGAGACTGGCCTAGCTTCAAAGTCCTGAGGGTAGAATGGATTGGGTCCTCAGGTCTGCTGCTGTCTCTTAAAAAGTCAGAGTGGGGTGGGCTCAACCCCCAAATGGTCTAATGCACAGCTGGGAGACATAGGAAGAAGTTAACATGTCTGCCTCCCCAAGGCTGCTGGCAGATGGCCTAGCCAGCCATGTGGGAGGTGTAGGTGGAGATGGGCACAGGGCCAGGGTGCTGGCAAGGCACTGGTGAAGGCTCAGCTCTGGCCCAGCCTCCAGGGATAGGTGAAGCAAGGCACCAGGAAGCAACCCTGCCTTCCTTATCCTGCACCCTCAGCCCAGCAATTCAGCCTCCCTTCCCCCATGCTGGGTTCTGTTGGGGATCAGCTTAGGAGGTTTGCTGGGGGCCAGGGTGTCTTGCTTTGCTTCAAACATCTTTGGTCCCCTACAGAGAGCCATTCCATCTTTCTCACTCCAGTCTGGGAACCACCGGTGGCAGCTGGACAGGCTGAAGGAGGGAGGGGCCATTGGTAGGGGAGAACAAAAAGAAACCCCCAAATCAATTTTATAAACCTGGCCCTACTCTCAACAACGGGATATCATAGATCTAAGAGTGTGTGAGTGTGGGATGTCAGAGATAAGGAAGAGGAACTTGCAGTAGGACAGCTGCTTGCATGTTAGACAAGAATCTGTTCCCACCCTAGAGAGGCCCTACTCTCAACAACGGGATATCATAGATCTAAGAGTGTGTGAGTGTGGGATGTCAGAGATGAGGAAGAGGAACTTGCAGTAGGACAGCTGCTTGCATGTTAGACAAGAATCTGTTCCCACCCTAGAGAGGACCACCCTGCTTACGCTGGAGGGCAGACTGATTGATTCAAGGGTCTGAGTGCCTTCCTCTTCTCCTCTATAAAACTTCAGGACCTCCGAGGCCACCACATGCAGCTATGTAGGCCGTTAACTGCACGACTCTAGGGAGCACTATTTGTGATCTCATCTACATGGATGCTGCCTTGAAGTTGTGCAGTGCACGACTTGCACAGCTGTATACAGTGGCCCTACCCCAAAAAGCCCTCCCATTTCTGAGGCCTCATTCTGCCCTCTAATAACCCCAGTGCTGGAGAAACCTGGGATAATGAAAGTTTGCAGAAGTGCTCTGACATCCCCATAGCAACCCAGTGTGATGTCATAAACAGTGGATTAGCACATTCTAATGCCCAATCAGCAGGCTTTCTTACCTCCTTGCCCCAGTGCTAAGTGCCCTACAGGGGAGAGAAGAGGAAAGAGGCTGAAGCCAGTAAGGGAGCTGACAGAAGCAGAACAGACTGCAGCAGTTGTGGGACTTATGGGAGTGAGGTGCTCAAGCCCGAAGGCAATGGAACAGACAGCCGAGGTGCACTCTGGCTTTCCTGAGCTGTGGGATGAGTGCCAGCAAATGGCTTCCCCAGTGGAATCCAGTGAGAGAGTGAGAGGAGGGCCCACAGAATGCTCAGGTTGTTGACACCCAGGTTTGCTCAGGTTGTTGACACCCAGGTTTGCTTACCGGTTGAGCTGGGGTTTGCTCTTCGGAACAAATCCTTCAGGAAGCTGAGGCCTGTGATTTGGGAACAAACCTGAATGGAGGGAAGAACATATAAGGGTGATGGTCTCTGCAGCTCTTCAGGGGGGAAGCCCCAGGGAGCGGGGAGGCTGGCATTGTGGGGGTGAGTATATTAACACTCGGGATCTCTACTTCTCCTTCAGGGGGGGCTGGAACATGGGGTAGCTGGGTGGAGAGAGAAGGTCCCTGAAGCCCTCTGCTCCTCTTAGCCCTGGGGGGCCTTTACCTGCTCGGTGAGCCATCTTCACACACTCTTCAATCTTACGGTGCTCTTCCTGGCATAGGCCTGTGATCCTTCGGGGTAGCATGCCTCCATGAGGCCGGATGAACTGACTGAGCAGCAGAACATCCTAGTGAAAACCAGAAAGAGGAGATGTGGGTCAGCTGGGCTTGCTTTTGATGCTGGGGAGCCAGGGCCACATGGTCTACAGGGGAGGCTGCAGGATCCCTGCACTCTAAGAGGTCGATGTCTCTCTTGGGAACCTACTTGAGACTGCTTCCCCTACACAGAGCTTTGCACACTGGACTGCCACCTTCACTCTAACAAAGATTAATACCAATTTAGTAAGACTATCTGTGCCCCATTACCAATCCCAAGAGCTCCCGTTCGTTCCTCCATTAGATAATCTTTGATAGACTGGAGAATAGAAATTCTTCAAGAAGTGTTAATAATCTTTTATGAAAGGTACTTGAAATACCTTTCTTGGTGACAAAATGTCTGTTGAGTTATTCTCCTTGGGTGGGGTAGGGGACATGCAATATACAAGGGTACTTCAAAAAGTTCATGGAAAGATTTGTATTACCTTTTAATTCTATTTTTCCATGAACTTTTTGAAGTACCCTAGTATTTCCACATAAAAGGGAAAACCTGTACTGTTTTAGCCCCCAAACCCTACATGCCACGGGCCAGAGTACACGCAGGCAGCCCTCCACCTTCTGCTGTCCCCTCTGAAGTGCTAGGCATGCCTATAAGTTGAGGAGGACAGGACCAAGGTTGGGAAGTTTAATCCCCTATCATCTAAGCCCCTGTGACCAGATGCAAATAAATTCTTGGGCTTCCTCTGGACCATCAAATGCTGGACACGGCTACTTGGGGCAGGTCAAAGAAACAAGGATAAACAGAGCCAGAACTGAGACAAGTGACTACCTCCCCCTTCCCCAACTCTCACAGAATGGCTGAAGGGGTTAAATAAAACTAACCTCTGCCTTGGGCCTGACATGTCAGTCTTAGCAGTCATGTTCTACTAACCAACTTGCTGCCCTGGCAGGCGCCTCACTGTATAACCACAGATTTATTTTAATCACTGGACAGTTCCTGAGGGACCCAGACCCTCGATTCCCACCCCTGTACTCTTCAGAATGTGATGAAAAGAACTTGGATTGGATTAATCCAGGACTAATAAACTGGGCTCATGGCCCCAGGCCCCCACTGTAGGCTGCCAAGCAAGCTGACAGCTTTGTGCAGCTCAGGCTAAGGGTGCTCTGAGTAGAAAGGGGTAAAAGGAAAAACAACATTAGCCTTTACCTCGGAGGGGATTAGATTTCTTCTGCTGGATAAACAGAGCCAAGTACATGTCTTGGAAATGGCTGGTAGGAAGAGTGCCACATGGTGGCTGGGCAGGTGTGGGGTTCACTTTCCTATGAGCAGATGGGATTCCAAGTATGCCCACAACCCCACTAATTTCCAGGTTGCAGGCAGCTCTGAACACTACCCCTTTGCCTGCACTTTCTCTTACTCCAAGCAGCCATCAGCGGAAGGGCACTGGGGCAGGGCGGAAGACACCCCTTCCCCCCACCCCCGGGTGGCCTGAAGCCAAGGCTCCCAGCCCAGGAGATTAGTTGGGTCATTCTGTTCAGATCCCATGGGCATGTGGCCTCTCCTGCTCTTATCACCTGACCAGGATCTCTAACCTTAGTCATCCCATTCCACAAAGGGGCACAGGGACAACTTGCAGGTCAAACTGGCCCCAAGCCTGAATCACCTGAAACCCAAAAATAGGGTGCTAATATCACCACTGAGAGCTCTGAAGAACAAGTATGGATTTCTCCAGGGCTGTGTCCTCACCCCTGGGCCTTCCTCATCTCTAGAGAGGATGTATAGAGCAGTAGTTAGAAATAGGGGCTCTGCCTGGGCTTTATAGCCCTGGAGTTTGTATCCCAGCTCTGATACTAGCTGGGTGATCCGAGGCATGTTCATTAACTTCTCCGTGCCTCAAATAACCTCATCTGTAAAACGAGGATGAAACAAATACCTACTTCACAGGGTCATTGTGAAAATAAAGTGAAATAAAAAATGTCAGTGCTTACAATAGTGCCTGACACAGCATATGCACTCAATATGTTAACCTATTGTTATGATTCATTCATATCTTCTTTCCCTGGAAACAACTGCTCTAGAAGAGCTAGAGCAAACAGGTATCTTTGTAGCTCTGTATTGGAGCTACAAAGACAGTAATGTGTTCCCAGATCACAGTGAGAACCAAGAACCTCTTAAAATACACCCTCACTGCAAAAGGAGGAAAGCCAAACCCAGCTTATGATTTCAACCTCAGAGAACATAACCTCTGCCAGGTGGGGTTCAGACCCCTGGGGGTCTGAAGCGTAACCAGATCACGAACTCAATCATTGGCTCTCAACCTGGGCTGCACATCAGAATCACAGGAGAGCTTTGAAAAATGCTCAGGCCCCTCCCCAGGACTGATTCAGCTGGTCTGGGGTGAAGCCTGGGCATCACTGTTTTTTAAAGCTTGCCAAGAGATTCTAATGGGTAGCCAGGGATGAGAGCCACTGGACAAAATGCTGTTGTCTTTGGTGATTCCATGATATGCAGCAGCAGCTACTGGGGGAGGACGCTGCTCAAGTTAACTGAGGAATCCTAACTCAGACATGCGGACTCACCTCATAGTTATACCTGTGCTTCAGGTTCCAACGGCAGATGGGGCACTGTCCAGAGGGGTTAGGGGGATTTGGACTCTCCTTGGGAGTCTCTGTGATATGGCCTTTGATCTAGGAGGCAGAGAAAGAGAGCCAGTTTGAGGGGCAGAGCCAGCATGGAGCTGCTTATCTCTGAGCAAACCCCAAAATGATGGGAGTGCTGGTGAAAAGTTTATCTCTAGGGGTCATGTGGGAGTAGCTAATAGGTCTCTCTTCCTGAATTGTGGGTTTGTTCTGCAACTGCTGTATAATGGGCCTTGAGGTGGCCAAGGATGTAGCTTGGTGGCCCACAGGGGTAATGGAAATGATTTGAAATTTATACTGGTGGCAAGAGGGAGGGAGGGGTTTGCTGTTTAACAGCTGAATCCTACCTATCTTTCATCAAAAAAACACAAAAACACCAGAATTTATGCTTTCTTTTTTCCCCCTTTGGGAAAAAGTAATACATGCACATGGTGAAAAGTTTTGAATGGCACAGGTATGTAGAGTTTAAAGGAAGTTTCCCTCTCATCTCCACATCTTCTCCTCAGAGGAAATTGCATTTTCTAGCTTTATCTTAGAGATCTAAGCCTAAGCCAGTGGTTCTCAACCAGAGGTGATTTTCCTCCCCAGGGGACACTTGGCAATGTCTGGAGACATTTTGGATTGTCACAACTGGAGAGCGGGTGCTAATGGCATCTACCAGGGGTGCTGCTAAATATTCTACACTGTGCAGGACAGCACCCACAACAAAGAATTATCCAGCCCCAAATGCCAAAGTGCCAAGGCTGAGAAACCCCAGGCCATGCCTATACAAGCAGATATCTGTATGCACTCCTGCTTCTTTAAAAAACAAAAACAAAAACACACAGGTTGGGGGATACACCCCCATGTCCTGCTCCTTACTTTATCATTTGGATGGCACCTTTCAAACCTGCTGAGGCCACGTGTGAAATGACCTCCCCACCACTGTATCCTGTGACACAGCCTTGGAATTACTAAGCACAACCACCCAATGATATGGGAATCAACTCCATCTGCAACAGAGGAGTTGAGAGCCTTGCAAACCTGCTGAGGCCACGTGTGAAATGACCTCCCCACCACTGTATCCTGTGACACAGCCTTGTAATTACTAAGCACAACCACCCAATGATATGGGAATCAACTCCATCTGCAACAGAGGAGTTGAGAGCCTTGTTGACTGGGGTTGTGGATTATGAGAGTGAGGCTGGGACAGGTCTGAGAGGCTTTGGGAGGGAAGCAACACTGTCTCCTGGGGGAGAACTGGCAAAAGGGAAAGGTGGCTGCAAGTACTGCTTGGCTGTGCAGGGCATTGCTACCCATCTTTCTGCCATAGCAACCACAACCACGCCAGAAACAGAAGTTGTGGGTTAGAGAAAATTTCCAGGTACACGGTATGCCTTCTGGGGGCAGGGGTGTCATAGTAGGCTGGAGGGAGAGAGCTAACATTTACTGTCTCCTCATTATAAACCTGGCTCTGTGCTAAGAATGGTTCACATATATCATTTCATTTAACCCCGACAACCCAGTGAGGTAGGCATCTGATCTTATTTCATAGAGGAGAGAGTAATGCCCCAAATCAGCCACAACAGCACCTCTCCAGGCATGGATGGGCTCTTTCCTCCCTGGAGAGCTCTCACAGGGCCACAACGTCTCCATGTTCATTCTACAAATAGCGGATTCATGCCCCACATGAAAAAGTCTTTACACTCAAAAGTCAAATGTATTTCTCTCCTCCAACATGGAGTTTATAGGGTGAATGCTTGTTGTGGCTTTGAATCAGGGAACCAAAAAAGGTACCCTAAGGGGATGGGGGTGCCCTAAAAAGACAGAACTGTTTTGGAGCTAAGCAGTGGAAAGGCTGAGGAAGTATTCTGGGGGAAGACACAATGGTCTTGTCCTGGGGATAAGACTGCCTTGAGGACTGAGCTTGGCTGGCTGCCAGAAGGGTTAAACGCCTGTTGACATGGAAGTTACAGAGGCTTCTGGGAGCTCTGTAGAGTGGCTGAGGATTTCTTGGAGGCATGGAAGGCCATGTGAAAACGTTGTCTTTTAAGGATTATGGGATAATCTAGGCCCCATGACTCCCCAAGGAAGGGAGGTGAGATGAGCCCAATGAGGGAAAGGGGGGAGTGGGTGGATAAAGAATTGTTCCAGCTTTCCTACCAACAGACAAGCCAGGGCGCCAGCTAGTGAGGCCCGGGCCCAGAGAATGTCACCTTTTAAATGCACCACTTAAAGAGCAGCTTAGTCATTCCACACAGAAAAGAAAGGAACTGATGTCTACATTGCTGGACCTGGGTCACTTTACTCTTACTCTAGACCTGCAACTCTGCCTTAGTTTCCCCTTTGGGAAACTGATGTATCACCCGCCAAAGAACATATCAGCAAAGGCCTCTAAGACCTTGTCAAACAAAAGGCCACTTTAATCAAATAATAGATACCTCAGCCCAGGCACAGTGATGGTTCCTGATTAACCACACTATAGCACACAGCTTGAAAAATAGTAGACTGTGCGGTTTGTGGTCATCAAGGGAGCTGATCCTGGAGCCAGGAGTCCAGTTTCGGCCTCCCTCCCTCCCTCAGAGGAGTGGCCAGGCAGCTCCAAGCATTAAAGAGACTGTAAGTGGCCAACTTGATGATACTCACTATAGTTGTCTTCCCTTCTTGGATCTCCACCACTATAGAGAGAAAGGGGAAAAATTAGGTCAGCCATTTAATAAGGAACAGAGAGTTTCAAATAATAGCTCAAATTCTACACATGCAGAAAAAGGAGCCTTCAGTCTGCATTCTCCCACGGTCCCCACCTGGAACAGAAAATGTGCAGAGTTCACCCCCAAGTGCCAAGGCTCTATGCCCTTGAGGCTGGGTGGGGACAGCCCAGGATGCCCAGGTAGTATAATCTCTCTGGGATTAAGTCTCCACGTTGTTTTTGCCTTTCTAAGCTGAGATTCGCCTTGGTTTCCTCCAAAGGAAGATCCTGCCCTACCGCAGCTAGCAATAATGACCTAAGAGTTAGTGGGGCAGTGGCATCTAAAAGACCTTCAACAGTACCCCCTGCATGTGCCCCTTCATAAAGAGAATCAGACAAAAATGGTTTCTGATTTTGAAGAGTTTACAATCTAAGGTATAGCAGTGAACTAACACTGTTTGCATGGCCCCATGGTGGATAAGCAATGAGACAAGTTCACTCCTCCTGAGAGTCTCATGTTAAACCTGTAAAAAGGGCTGGACGGTTAGCTCAGCTGGTTAGAGGGTGGTGTCATAACACCAAGGTCAAGGGTTTGGATCCCTGTATCAGCCAGCCGCAAAAAAAAAAAAAAAAAAAAAAAAAAAAAAAAGTAAGTCTGTACGAAGACAGCTGTGTGACTTAAATCCTCTTCTCTCCTCTCCATTCCTCCCCTTGCAGGGCTGCATTGTTATCTATGCTGGAGAGGGGTGACGGAAGAAGTGAGAATAAGGATACTGGGTCCAGGCAGAATTTCAAGGAGGGTACTACTACTCCAAACTGAGAGGGACTTCCTCAGCTCTTGTAGTAAGAAGAGAACATGAGGGCAAGACAATCAGTCTCACACATCTGTCAAGCTATGTGCATTTCCAATCTTACTTAACCAGGATGCAGAATGACAACTCCAATGATAATCAAAGGAAGAACCAAACTAATAGTCTGCATTTGGAAAATCTGATCAAATAGTTCTTGGGGATTTGCCCTTGCTCTCCCAGTTTCTTTAGAAAGAGAAGCCACAGCTGTTAGCAAAAGACTGGTACACAGCAAATGCTCAATAAATGCTAGCTATTATTTTTAGGGAGAAATATAGTTGTCATGGTCCCCCTCTGACAGCTAACTACTGTAATAGAAAACATGGGCCCACATAGCTAGGCTGCAAACTGTATTTCAAAATACTAAAACCATATTTTAACAGCAGCTTGGCTATCTCAGTGTAGTTTTACTCAGCTCTGGCCAAGGCAAGAAGTAGTCCAGACTACAAAGAGCCTAAGGTTTTCAACTTTGAGGATCCAATGAAAGCTACGGACCTCTCCCCACGAAAATGTCCGTAAGTATACATACAATTAGACATGGATTTCAGGAGGCTCACACCCTTGAAAGCTATATATCTAAGCAGTAATACTGGTTATCTCTCAGGGGTGGCAGTAGATGTTTTTAGTTTCTTCTTTTTGCTTATTTGTATTTTCTAAAGTTTCTAAAACAAACATGTATTGCTTTTGCAATAAAAGGAGAAGGGAATGTAAGGAAAAAAGGCAATTGTAATCTAACCGAGGCCCATGGCAGCATCTGTGATCACTGAGCTCTGTGACCAACACCTAATTGGACACAGACTGCCTGGAATTGTTCCCCATTTGTTTTCTGGGCAAGCCATTCATAAAAGACTCATTACTCCAAAATGACTGACCTGACAGCCCCTCAATGTCCAACTCCAGACGTACAAACGAGTAATTATGGACGAAAAGCCCTGAGGCTTTCTCCAGAGAACACTGTAGTCACTAATCAATTCAAAGACAAACTGGGTTTCTCCATGTAAAAGAAAATGCATCACCCCACACATGGACCTACTTGTATAGAACAGAGACCAATCCAAGAACAGGATGTGGGTGACACTCAACCTGGTTCTCAGTCTGGAAGCCAGCACAGCTGCAGAGGGAAGGTCACTGCAATGTGTCAATCTGCAGGCACAACCTACAAACAGGGCAGAAGGGAAGAGGGCACCTCCCCAGCCCAGTAGGGGTTCCAGGCACCCCAGAAACTGTGCAAATATTCAAAAACCAAGTTGAGAGAGGGTCTGAAGGCAACCAAATCTGAGCAACAACAGGTGTGTGTGTGGGGGGAAGGGAGTTTCTGAGATTCCTTATGGGAAACAAAAGGAGAGACACATTCTGGTACTACTGGAGTCAGCATAAGAACAATGCCCTGAAACACAAAGAGGATAATCATGTGGTTCCCTTCTTGGTGGAGGCACTTGGGTCCTAACCATGAGGTAAACAAGTCTAAGAAAACACATCACTCCCGGCAAAGAACCAAACCCTGAAGTCATCCCATGGGCCCCTGGAAGAGAGATCAAAGCCCATGGCAAGCTCCAGTGTTCACAGGATCTCCACACAGCAACCCTGAGCCAGTGAATCATCTTACTAGAGGCCAGTGGGTAAAACAATAAGGCAGATGCTTATCTAATAGATGCAATTTGTCAAACCAGAAGGAATGACCTGAGAACTCACAGGAGACTGAGAATGATCAGGGTAGTCTCTTGGTACAGGGGGAGAAGGCCCAGCTGGAACCTGGAGAGGCCCTTAGTAGATTTTAAGCCTCTAGGAAGAGGAGATAGGAATCAATAGTATTGCTTTTCAGTGTGCATACAAAAACATGTTAAAACCAAACAAAACCTGAGATCCATTTTGTCCTTGGCTTCCTCTCCATTCAAGAGAAATGGGGGTGGCTAAGAAAAGCTGGACTAAGAGATTAAGGTACTAACAGAAAATTGTTTAGAAAAAGATGGAATCACCCTCGTGTTCTGAGATATGACAGTATCAAGTATACTAAAGAAAGAGATGAAGCAGTTTTCTAAACTAGAACTAAAAGCTAAAATTTTTCTAGACAGGCACTTATACACATCAAATAATCTTGTCCAAAATGAAGCAACACATTTGCTGAGCACCTGTGGAATACAAAGCCTCACTCTACCTACTGTGGAGGTTACAATAGAAAAGGATGTCAATGTCTTTGCCCTCTACAGGAGGAAAGGGAACCGAACCAAGTATGGGAACTTCACTATAATAAAGTCCATGGGCTGTCCGGTTAGCTCAGTTGGTTAGAGTGCGGGAGCGCCGCCGCACTCCCAAGCGGCGCACTCTCCAGTGTGCCACCAGGCCGGCCCTTGATGTCTTCTTTAGCAACTGTATTAGTCATGGTTCTCCAGAGAGACAGAATTAATAGGATATGTTATAAATATATGAGAGGAGATTTATTAGGGGAATTACTCAAGCAATCATGAAGAGAAGTCCCACGATAGGCCATCTGCAAACTGGATGCTGGTAATGTGGTTTGTTCCAAGTCTGAAGGCCTCAAAACCAGGGAAGCCGATGGTGTCCTTGATGTAAATCCTGGAACCCAAAAGCTGAAGAGTCTTGAGCTCTGATGTCCATGGACAGGAGAGAAGAGTGTATCCCAGCTCCAGCAGATAGAGAGAAATTCATCTTTTTTCTCCATTTTTTGTTCTCTTCCTGGGCCCCCAGGCTTTTCTATACATCCTTTGAAATCCAGGTGGAGGCTCCCAAGCCTTCACAGCTCTGGCATTCTGCTAGCCTGCAAACTTAACACCATGTGGATGCTGCCAAGGCTTCCTGCTTGTATCTTCCAAAGCTGCGGGTCCAGTTCCACCCAGGGCCAATTTAGCCACAGCAGGAGCAGCCAAAGCAGCTGGGGTGCTGGTGCTTGGAAGCAGCTTTCCGAGGTGGTTGTAGACAGTGAGGCTGTGGAAGGCACCACAGGCCTGTTCCCCAAGACCATTCTGTCTCCCTAGGACTCCAGCCTGTAATGGAAGGGTTGGCCCCAGAGGATTCTGCAATGCCTTCAGGGCCTTTCCCCCCTTCTGTCGATAATCCCTTTCTTTTGTACTAATCTTATTAGCAGCACTGCATTTTTCTCTTGAAAATGCTCTCTGTTTCTCTACCACATGGCCAGGCTACAAATCTTCCAAATCTTTATGCTCTGCTTCCCTTTCAATTATACGTTCTAGCTTTATGTCATTCCTTTTCTGACAAAACTCAGCATAAGCTGTTGCAAGTAGCCATGCAGCTTCCTGAATGTTTTGCTGCTTAGAAATGTTTTCTGCCAAATACCCTGGGTCAGCACCTTTAAGTTCCACATTCCATAAAACTTTTAGGCATGAACAGAATGCAGCCAAGTTCCTTGCCAGTTCATAGCAAAGGTGATCTTTGTCCCAGATTCCAGTAAGTCCCTTCTCATTTACATCCGAGATCTTCTCAGAATGGCCTTTACTGTCCATATTTCTATCAGCATTCTGCTTACCACTATTTAGTCAGTATTTAAGAAGTTCCAAACTTTCTCTGGTTTTCTTGTTTTCTAAACTCCCACCAGCAGCTAGGCTTTTTCTAGCCTGCTTCTTCAAATTCTTCCAGCCTTTTCTCAACACCCAGTTCCAAAGCCACTCAACATTTTCAAGTATTTGTTATAAGCAACACCCCACTTCTCTGGTATCAATTTTCTGTCTTAGTCCATTTCTGCTATAACAAAATACACAGAACTGGGTAGTTTGTAAAAAAACAAAATTTATTGCTTACAGTTTTGAAGGCTGGGAAAACCAAAGTCCAAGGAACACATCTGCTGAGGGTCTTCTTTGGTGGTTCTGATGGCTTTAAAAATAGAGTGCAGGGCCGGCCCGGTGGCGCACTGCTACAGTGCGCCGCTTGGGAGTGCGGTGGCGCTCCCGCCGAGGGTTCAGATCCCACGTACAGACCGGCCGCTCACTGGCTGAGTGAGATGCGGGCGCAACACCGAGGGTTGCGATCCCGTTGCCGGTCCCGGTCTGGTACAGGCGTGACACTGAGGGTTGCGATCCGTTGCCGGTCACGAAAAAAGACAAAAAGGAAAAAAAAAATAGAGTGCATAAGGGTCTCTCTCTCTCTCTCTCTGCTCCACCATTTTCTGCCATGTTAGACCCCTGCATTGCTGTAAAGCCACCACCAAAGAAGACCCTCATCAGATGTCATCCCGGGACTTTGGATTTCCCAGCCTCTGAAACTGCAACCAATAAATGTCATTTTCTTACAAACTACCCAGTTCTTTGTATTTTGTTATAAGCGACAGAAATGGACTAATACACCAATCTAAGTATTTATGGAGAAGAGGACTTCAGAGACCCACTTGATCACATAGCCTGTCATTTCACAAACTCTCCAACTGAAAAAATTCTTTATGTCTAATCTCAAATATTCCTGTTGTTAAAAAACAAACTATTCCTTTTGCCTTTCTTCTGGGAACATAGTGGAGAACTGTTTCAACTTTGAATTTCATAAAGGATATGCAAGTTGCAGCAATTAGTGTTTGACACTTAGTAGACACCCTCAAAAATATTATGGGCATATGACTATTTTGTAGTACAGGAATAGATAAAACAACTTATCCAATCCTTTCTATCATCAGCATGATTTCTTTATTAATGGATTAGTCTATCTAATGTCAACCAGGCAGTAACTGGACTTTTTCCTTTATTTTTTTTTGGCTGCTGGCCTGTAGCAGGATCCGAACCCTTGAACTTGGTGTTATCAGCATCACTTCACTCAAGTGAGCAACCTGCCAGCCCCAGATTTGTTTTTTTCTAGCAAACATTCCATCTTCCCTTTATAGCTAACTTCTTCAAATATATGTTATAGATTTGTTTTTTTCTAGCAAACATTCCATCTTCCCTTTATAGCTAACTTCTTCAAATATATCTGTTATTTCCTTTTTTTTTTTTTTCCTTTTTGTCTTTTTTTGTGACCAACAACGGATCGCAACCCTCAGTGTCGCGCCCGGACCGGACCGGGACCGGCAACGGGATCGCAACCCTCGGTGTTGCACCCGCACCTCACTCAGCCAGTGAGCGGCCGGTCTGTATGTGGGATCTGAACTCTCGGCAGGAGCGCCACCGCGCTCCCAAGCGGCGCACTGTAGCAGTGCGCCACTGGGCCGGCCCTGTTATTTCCTTTTTTAAATCAACTATCTCTTTGATTTCTCCAAAATGGGTTTCTTGTCTACTACTCCACTGAAATTGCTGTTTGAAAGCTAAGAAAAAAAAAGAGAGACCTCTAAGACAAATCCAATGGCCCCTTCATTAGGCTCTTCTGCGCCCTCTGATCAACAATGCTCACTATTTTCTACTGGATTCTTCTCAGCTTTAGTTAAAGGATATCCTGGCTGGCCAACAGTATGCCAGAACCTTAAAAAAACCACATCACTTCTTTTGCATATCACTTATCCTTTCTTACTTCCAGCATTACACGAAGGAAATCTATGTTCTGAAAGACCTTTTCACTCTCTGCCAGATTCCATCCTTTTATAAGCCTGTTTGAGACACACCCCTTTTATGAAAACTTCCAACTGGGTTTGTTGAAGTACCGAATCTCCCTGTACTTCATCATGTAAATGACTAACTTGCATTTAATGGAGTGTATACATACCATCTCATTAGAACCTAAGCTTCTCAGGAAAAAGGCTGTGTTTTCTCTTTCTCCAGAGCTCCTTCAGAGCTTGTAGCACAGCACTTGGCCTTCAGTAAGCTCTCAGCTGATGCTAGGATCAGGCTGCTTTTCCAGATTTAAGAGTAATAAAAAGCAGCACCGGCACCCAGCATTTGTCTCTGCCTCAGCTGCTCCATGGCCTTTCCACTTCGGCCTCTAACTCTCAGAGAGTCTAGCGGCCCGATAAGAAAAAGCCGCCTTCAGATCACAGCATTTTCTGAAGACAAACTGAAAAAAGAGAGGATCTGGGGGTATTCAGATGTTTTTCCCTCATGGCCCAGGGATTCCTTTAATGAAGAAGGTGTAGGTTCGAAGAATACGTAAGGGAGAATTAACAAGCAGACCTTCACCGACAACTTTTCTGAACCCCAAGACAGGTTTCTCTTGTGCCCCTGCTAAGTAAGTAGGCCTTTCTCTCCCGTCCTCCCTCGCCTCGTGAGGTCACTCACAAGGCATTTTTCTTTTTGGTGGCTGGCTGGCACAGAGATCGGAACCCCTGACCTTGGTGTTATCAGCACCGCGCTCTAACCAAGTGAGCTAACCGGCTAGTCCCTAGAAGGTATGTTTAAGTACCCACCCAGGCGCCAGTACCTCCGACGTTTCAGAATCGCGCAAAGGAAAGGCAGGAAGAGGCGGAAGCAATCTCCGCCGCTCTTCTGTTTAACCTCCGGATGTCGCTGGGGCCCAGAACTCACCTTCCCTGAACCCCCGAGCTGGAAGCCGAGCCCAGCTGGTCGCGTCTGGGCCAGCCGGGAGCCCTCGAAGTAACCGTCCACACCGCGACACCAGCGTACCGAGGATCGCCATCTTGAAAACCAACCCTGACCTCTGGTGCACTTCCGCTTCCGGAACGGTGCGCGCGCAGCCGCAGTGGCTGGGCAGGAATTTGCTCCTTGAGGGCTTCTCTTTCCGTTGCTCCTGTCACTTCCATTTCCCTCACCTGTCCCGCTTTGGGCTAAGAGGAGAGGCCTTTGTGTCAATCCTGCATTTCGTTCCGAGGATCTAGGGGAGGTCTTCTAGCTCCTGGCTGCCAGTCCCCCCAATCTCCAAAACTGCTTAGACTTCGTTGGAAAAATCACACACATTACCCCTATTCTTTAAAGCTTTCTCTTCTCTGCAAGTCAGCTGTGGATTTTCAGCTTCTGTGACTGGGACTAGCTGTACAACAGAGATTGAAATGGTTAAGAACGGGCCGGCCCGGTGGCTCACTCGGGAGAGTGCGGTGCTGATAACACCAAGGCCCCAGGTTCGGATCCCATATAGGGATGGCCGGCTCGCTCACTGGCTGAGCGTGGTGCTGACAACACCAAGTCAAGGGTTAAGATCCCCTTACCGGTCATCTTTTAAAAAAAAAAAAAGAAATGGTTAAGAACTCTGGCTCTGGAGTATTAAGTATCAGGCAGGCCTCGAATAGAATTAATACCTCCTTCTTTGCTGATCTACACCACCACACTGATCTATGATTCTTGTATAGTTAGACCTCTCTTCAGCCCCAGGGCCTTTGCACAAGCTGAGTCTGCTGCCTGCTCTTTAGCTACCTGGCTAACTCCTACTTATTTCTCAGGGCTCACCTCAAATTTCATTTCCACAATGAAGTCATCCTTGACCTCCCTGTTACTGGTTCTCAGCACCAGCTACCTCTCCATTTTAGAACTTGGCACAATTGCACTTTTACATTTGTCTGTATAATATGTGCCTCCCCACCAGATTGTAAGTTCCGCGAAGGCAGGAAGATTGTTTTTTGTTCACTCTCATATCTCTAGCACTTAGTACAGTGCCCGACACATAATAAGAGTGCACAATTGCACTTTTACATTTGTCTGTATAATATGTGCCTCCCCACCAGATTGTAAGTTCCACGAAGGCAGGAAGATTGTTTTTTGTTCACTCTCATATCTCTAGCACTTAGTACAGTGCCCGACACATAATAAGAGTGCGATACATACTTCTTGAATGAATGAGTAGAACCTATTTTATAGGATTATTGTAAATATTAGATGAGAAAAAGTGTAAGTAAATAAACATAGGCTAGTTAATAGGGCAGTTATGGAGAGAGCTCTTTTTACAAGTTTGATGTACTTACCTTATAAGAAAATTTATGGTACCAAAAAGAAAATTTAACTGTCCAATCTTCCCTTTTAGATTTGCAGTACATATAGGATATTCCCCTGGAGCCACATAAAAAAGGAAAATTATTCACAGCTTAATTTTTCCACTTGATTAGCATATTCTTCCCCATCCTCCATAATAAACCTGAAGAGGGATTTTCTAGTTACCCTACTCTTATTCATAGGTGGAAAAATCAGACTCATTAAATGCTCAGCATGTTTTCCAATGAGGGGGAGACTAGGAGCCCATCATCCAGTTGGGACAGCCACCATAGTGGGCTAGGAGGATACAGAGCAGCTGCTGCATGGGGAGCTTGATTGGCATCACCATAGAAAGGGAGAGCAGCAAAAATGTGGCATCGAGGTATCTTAAAACACCATATTCTGGAAGATCCAGTGAAGCAGAAACTTGAAAGAAAGGTCAATCAAGGTGGGAGAGACTGATGCATTGATTAGGAGTGGAGCAGAGGGTCTTGGTGGAATGTAGGTCTAGGTGTCCCATCCAGGATCAGGAGAGATTTGACTCTCCCTATACCTTCCACTTTTCTTCTGTATGGATGACCCTTGAGTCACATCCCCTATTTGTACCACATCCCCTGTTTCTTTACCCATCCCCAACTTATGGGGATCCAGCAGAGACCAGGACAGTAGCAGAGCCCCATGCAAGGCTTGTTTTGGACATAGTGGAGCTAAAGCATTGAGGTGCCAACCTTCTCCTCGTTATCTTATCCTAATTTATCATAATCAAATTTTATTTTTAAAGACAATGTGTATTTTCTACAACATCAGGTAACATGATCTTTGTAGAAAAACGAAACTATAAAGTAAAAAGAAAATAAATATCATCCATAATCCAGAGATAAACATTGTTTACATTTAGCAAAATGAAATAATACTGTGCATATTATTTGTTTTGTAATACCTCATTTTTCTGAATCCACTTACTATTAATCCCTACATGAAAAACAATCCTGCGAGATTAGGTTTTGTTTAGGAGACTAGACTTTAAAAAACACACACACCTTTTATAACACCAAGGTCAGAGTTCGGATCCCCGTACTGGCCAGCCACCAAAAAAACTCCAAAAAACACCTTTTAGTTAACGCATTACCTATATAAGTAAAGTACACAAATCATCAGTTTACAGCTTGATGAATTTTCACAAAGGGAACACACTACCCATAACAACAAGTAGGATATAATCAATATTCCAGAACACCTCCTGTGTCCACTTCCAGGCACTATACTCCAAGGATAATCATTATTCTGACTTTTAGCACCATAAATTACTTTTTCCTGCATTTGAACTTTATATAATATTCCACTGTGAATATACCACAATTTAAAAAATCTTTTCTTCCATTGATAGAATTTGGATACTTTCCTTTTGGGACTATTACAAATAGTGTTATGATGAATATTCTTTTACATGACCTTTGATGAACAGAAGAACACATTTCTTTTGGATGTATGTCTAGCAGGGGAACTGCTAGCTTGTAGGGCATGCATATGCTCAGCTTTAGTAGGTACTGCCAGTTTTCCATAGAGATTGTACCAGTTTACTCTGGTACCAGCTGTGTATGAGAGTTCATTTGCTCCACATCCTTATCAATATTTGATATTTTTTGTACTTTTCATCTTGCCATTCTGGTTGGTATGAAGTAGGATCTCTCTCTCTCTCTCTCTCTGGCAGCTGGCCAATAGGGGGATTGGAAACCTTGACCTTGGTGTTATCAGCACCTGGCTTTAACCAGATGAGCTAACTGGCCAGCCCCTGTAGTAGGATATCATTCTGTATTTATTTTACATTTTCCAATGTCTAATGAAGATAAATAACTTTTCATATGTTTATCGACTATTTACGAACTGTCTTTTGTAAAATGTCTGTTCAAACTGTGGCCCATTTTATATTGGGTTGCCTGTCTTTTTCTTATTGATTTGTAGTTCTTTATTTATTCTGGATACTTACATGTTGTTGTATATGAGTATGTACTGTAAATGTCATCTCCCTGCCTGTGGGTTGTCTTTTCATTCTCCTGTAGTTGTTTTTTATTTTTTTTATTTTTTAGAGGCTGGCAGGTATGGGGATTTGAACCCTTGACCTTAGTAAATTTTTTATATAGTGCATTTCATCAGTTTTTTTCTTTATTAATTTTTTTTCCTCTTTAAGGTCATGAAGATGTTCTCCTATGTTTTCTTCCAAAAACTTCATCGTTTTACCTTTCACATTTAGAGCTTCAATTCATCTAGAATTGTTTTGTTATGTGGTCTGAGACTGGGATTAAGATTCATTTTTTTACAATAACAATATCTAACTGACCCAACACCATTTGTTAAAAACTCCACACTTTGCCCAGTTCATTTTATCTGGTCTGTTTTCTGGAATCTTTGTTTGGTTTCATTGGTCTCTTTTTCTGTCCTTTGGCACAATTTTTCGTCCCTTTAGCCATTTGACAAACTTTGGCACCATTTTTAATGGCTATGTACTATTTCATTGTCTAGAAGTGCCATAACTTAATCAATCCCCAATTGCTAGGCTTTTGATATTTGTAAATTATATACAAGTGTACGTCAAAAAGTTCATGAAAAGGTTATTAGCCTTTCTTTTTTTTTTTTTTTAAAAGATGACCGGTAAGGGGATCTCAACCCTTGGCTTGGTGTTGTCAGCACCACGCTCAGCCATTGAGCAAACCAGCCATCCCTATATAGGATCCGAACCCGCAGCCTTGGTGTTATCAGCACCGCACTCTACCGAGTGAGCCACGGGCCAGCCCTACTTATTTATTTTTAAATGTTATTTCATTAATATTATTTTTTTTACATTCTATGATGTTGTTGCAGAGCAGTTGGGAGGGAGGGGGAGAGGGGAAAGGGGAAGGAAATGTGATGGAAGAAGGAGGAAGGAGGAGGAGTGGGACTGAGGCCTGTGACACTCCCACATTCCCACAGGGGAGACCAGGGCTCTTCTTGCTGTGGTTTGTTGGTAATTGCCAGGCTGGTTGTGCATATTGCGGGGGCATGGCCGAGGCCCGAAGCCCCCACCCTCGGGACTGGTTGCTTGTGTAGTGGAGCATAGCTGAGGTCCCCAGCCCGCCCCACTTTCTGGTTTGGTAGCCCAGGGGACTTCTGGTCCTTCCAGGTGTTATAGGTGTTCTTTGATGAAATGAGACCTTTCTTAGTTAATATCAAACTTTGTCTCTGGTTGTGGGTACTCTGGTTTTTCTTTCAGTTCTGTGTTGGATTATTTGCTGTTCCCACCACTCAAACTCTGCACTGGAACTAATTTGTTGTCCTTTGCTTACTTCTAAAATGGGGGAACTTCCTGTGGGGACCAGCACTTGAGCTCTGTGGTTGACCTAAATTGCTGTTTTGCTGCTGATTCCCTAGGGAAGGCTTTTTGTGCAGCTCAGGTTTTAATGGTTGACTTTATAGGTACTTCTGGTCCTAGTGAAATCTGGTGCACCTGGGTTGTGTAGAAACTCTGATCTGGGTCTGAGTCTTTTCATCAAACTGCACCCCATGAAATTCTATATTCCTGACCAGTCTCCTCTGAGTGGTCCTGTGCTGATTGGGGGGCCGATCAGCTGTCCTTGCTGTGCCCCAGTGTTCCCCCGGTGGGCTCGTCTCCCCCACCACCCGTGCTTCAAACACTTCCCATGGGACGGGCCATGCTTCGGTCCCTTGTGATGACTCACTGGCCTCTAAGTGGCTCCTTTTTTTCAGTT